GGGGGGGTGGGGGGTGGGGCAGAAAAAGAGCTTTGGGGGCGGAGAGCACGAGGGTTAACCCCCGGACACCTGTGTTTTGCAAACTCCTAACTCGATGTTACCGGGCAGTGTTTACTCTGAGGACGATTACCCTGTAGAATTTTCCTTCCCTGCCACCAGACACCAGGCCATAGAACGGGATCAAGTCTTCACCCCCAAGAGAAACAGCTGCCTCCAGGGCGCTAGAACGGGAGCAGAAAGGGGACTGTTAGAGAGCTCTCGAGCGCCAGCAGCCGGGGCCGGGGCCGTGGGGCACTGCGGTCCTCCGGAGGCTATTCCGGGGCGCAGCTACGATTAGGGTCTCTGTGAACCTGTTAAGAAACGCCCTCCATGATGAACCAAAGATGAAAAGTTCCATTCCAAGCGCGGCGCCCGGTGGTACAGGTCAAACGCCTCAATGACAGTGACATCCACACGCAGACGGCAGAGCAGGCGCTTGGCAAGGTGTCTGCGATCTTCGGGGACCGCGCCTCTCCAGAGGGAGTCCTCCCTGCACAGCGGCTCTGCCCGTGACTCTAGACCTCACGTGGCCAGGGCCGAGGGCACCGGGTGGTAGAGGTGAACTGCCAACGCTAATTGCTTCCACGAACACTCAGGAGGCCACAGGGGACCCATGCCAGTCGGATAAAAATAACCCTCTGCTCTCTAACACGGGGTCAGGCTTTCCAAAAATAGGCCCGTAAGGTAAGAAAACCTACTTTTGTATGAGACCGACTTTGCCTCGCATAGAATGCTAATAATAATATGAAATCATTATAATAACCCACTCACTGGATCTCCGCTAACCAGGCCATTAGCCTCCTTGTGGGTTATTAAAACACACTGCAGCCGGCCAGTGTGGCTCAGTGGTTGAGCATCGACCTATGAACCAGGAGGTCAGGGTTTGATTCCCGGTCGGGGCACAGGCCCAGGTTGCGGGCTTGATCAGCAGTGTGGGGCGTGCGGGAGGCAGCCGATCAATGATTCTCTCTCATCATTGATGTTTCTCTCTCTCTCTCCCTCTCCCTTCCTCTCTGAAATCAATAAAAATATATATTTTTTAAACCACAACACACTGCAGTGTAGACCACAGCAGAGAAGTGGTTTAGTATCTGGACTCTGGGCTCCCGGTTCTGCCCCTTGCAGGTAAGTCACCTCCCTGGGCCTGTTTCCTCTTCTGTAAAGTGGGAATAATTGCAGGGTCTGCCTCACAGGTTGTTGTGAGAATTAAATGGATGCAATAAGGGATTTGTCAAGAAGCCCTTTACTTTTGTGCTGTGATGAGTGCCTGCTGAGGTGTGGGCTTGAATCAGAAAGATGGCGAGAACCCCCCCCCCCCACTACTCCGTCACCGCTAGTGCAGGTCACCTAACCGCTGGGAGCTGGTTTCCAGGCCTGTACAGTGGGGACGGCGACAGCCCCTACCTCACAGGGCAGCTGTGAGGATGAAATCGGACAGTTATCTGGAAAGCACCCAGACAGGGCCTGGCCCGGAACAGACTTGGTACGAGCAGTTAAAATTATTGCCCTGACCGGTTTGGCTCAGTGGATAGAGCGTCGGCCTGCGGACTGAAGGGTCCCAGGTTCGATTCCAGTCAAGGGCATGTACCTGGGTTGCGGGCACATCCCCAGTGGGGAGTGTACAGGAGGCAGCTGATTGATGTTTCTCTCTCATCGATGTTTCTAACTCTCTATCCCTCTCCCTTCCTCTCTGTGAAAAATCAATAAATATATTTTAAAAAAATATTTTTTACAGAGAGTAAAATGCCTGAGTCCTTGTAACTGTGGCCCTGGCACAGTGCCCGGCATTGGTTGGGTGTAACACCTGCCTGCTGTTGCTGAGTATTCAGAAGGGGTCTGCACTGGCCCCCGTCCTCACGGGCCAAGCTGCTCCCCAACACGCACCTGAGGTTGACTTCCCACTGCACCACAGACAGGTCCTGTCCCCCCGCCGTGAAGACGTAGTGGCCATCGTGGGAGAGGGCCATCCCGGCCACCCCGTTCGGGTGGCAGACGATAGCACAGGTCTTATGGGGGTTGCCATCTATCGGTAAGATCTGGAGTCCGACCTGGAAAGGAACAGGCAACCGGATATTCAGGCTCGGATGACCAGGCCCCAGGCTGGGCCCGGCCTTCACAGTGACCTTCAGGCCTGTCACCGGGAAGACTCCTGTGTGTGAACCGGCTCAGGGTGTGTGAGCGCGTTTCAGGTGGCAGAGGGTTCGCACACACAGACCCCTGCAGGGTGATCCCTTAGGAGAGAGATGCCAGGTTCCAGCAAGGACACAGAGGGGAGCTTTCCTCCCGTCTTCATAGACGGATGTCCAAGGTTTTCCAGAATAATCCTAACATCCTACGATTTTATGCTTTCCCGTATAGGTCACTCATTAAATGCACAACTAAGTGTAACTAATTTGTATGCTTTTACTAGTATAAGATGGGCTGTGGGCTGCATTTTGTGCCATGGGGTCTCGGCAGCATTGGCTGCAATTTGGCGGGCTGTCGCTCCAGGGTGGCAGCAGGGCCTGTGTCCCAATTGGGGGAAGCTGAGTGTTGCTTTGTGGGCACCAGGTCCGCGGTGCCGTTTCTCTGTAAATGGCCAGTGCGCGTCATGGCAGCTCCTGCATTGAGCATGTGCCCCGTGGTGTTCAGTGCGCGTCATAGTAACTGGTCGGACGGTGGGACACTTAGCACATTAGCCTTTTATATATATAGATTGATTTCAGAGAGAGGACGAGAGGACGGGAGAGGGAGAGAGAGAGAAACATCAATGATGAGAGAGAACCACTGATAGGCCTCCTCCTGCACACCCCTTACTGGGGATCAAGCCTGCAACCTGGGCATGTGCCCTGTCAGGGATTCAAACTGTGACCTCCTGGTTCACAGGTTGATGCTCAACCATAAGTCACATTGGGTGAGCAAGATTTTTTCCCCACGTGAATAAAATCCTTTGGGGACCATGTGTCTGCTTGGAAATGGCTTCTCAGAGTCACCCTCACTTGTCTGTGGCCGTTGTCAGTATCACCATGGACCCGGGGGGAGGGAGCTGGACGTGGCTAGGAAACCAAGCATCCTCGATAGAATCCTTGGGACCGACCGCCACTCACAGCACACAGAGCCGCCTCCCGAGGCGGGCGCAGCGGGGCTTACCTTGTCTCTGTTGATGAACACCAAGTAGCGCCTCTCCAGCTCCATGGCGGTTTTCACGGGGAGGACCTGGACCTGCTCATGGGAGACCCGAAGACTGGGCCCCAGAAGTGTCTTTCTGCGGGAGGAAGAGAGCCGTTTCAAATTCCGCAAATTGGAACACGGCTTTCTGACTAGCTGCCTTTCGTGATCCCCTGCACGATTCCAACTGTGCATTCCTGCCCTGTCACTCAGCAGAGCCCGTCCATAAGACGAGCTCTCTCCGCCGCCGCCGCTCACAGCTGCCGTAAAGAGGGCTCCCGGGGAGCTGACTGTGAAGGCGCTTTTAGCGGGGAGCCTCTGACTGGCCTCCTTGACAGCTGAGTGAAGGGAACATTATGCCTCGAGAACGTGTACATGAACGAGGGACGAGGGATGGGAAAAAGGCCGCGGCGAGGAAGTGACACGCGCTGGCAGGAGGCGTGTGAGGCCCCTTCCCAGTGGCCGGCCAGGAGATCGGAGGGAGATGCGCCGGTTGTTCCAGGCACCTGACACCCGGCCTCGGCACAGCACACAGATTTCCAAAAAACGGGCTGCGAGTCAAGTGATAATGAATCGTCTCCCTGCAGCGGGCAGCTTCTTTAATTCAGACCCTTACACGAATGAGGAATTGGATCTGAGGTGAGGTTCCCAGGCAGGACCTTAAGCCCAGCGCTGGGTTCCCCTGAGCCAGCAAAACCTGGGCCTCGGGACCCTTGCTCACGCCTTCTGAGGCTCTGGAAGGCCCTAGCCCAGTGGTTCTCAACCTGTGGGTCGAGACCCCTTTGGCGGTTGAACGACCCTTTCACAGGGGTCGCCTAAGACCATCCTGCATATCAGATATTTACATGACGATTCATAACAGTAGCAACATTACAGTTATGAAGTAGCAACGAAAATAATTTTATGGTTGGGTCACAACATGAGGAACTGTATTTAAAGGGCCAGAAGGTTGAGGACCACTGCCTAGCCTTTATTTATTTATGTTTTAACTAGAGGCCCGATGCACGAAATTCGTGCAAGAGTAGGCCTTCCTTCCCCCAGCTGCCGGCACCGGCTTCCCTCTGGCACCTGGAACCCAGGCTTCCCTCCGGCCACCAGCAGGCACCCGGGACCCGGGCAGCCCTGGCTTCGTCCAGAAGGTCATCTGGAAGGACGTCCAGAAGGACGTCTGGTCTAATTAGCATATTACACTTTTATTATTATAGATCCTCACCTGAGGACATGCCCTCAGTGATTTTAGAGAGAGAGGAAAGGAGATGGAGAGAGAGAGAGAGAAACATGGATCAGTTGCCTCCTATATGTGCCCCGCCCGTGGACCGCACCCCCCACCCAGGTATGTGCCCTGACCAGAACCGAACCTGCAACCCTTCACTGCACGGGATGATGCTTCAACCAACTGAGCCGTACTGGCCAGGGATCTAGCCATTTTTTTATTCTTAATTATGTACCTTTTGAAAAAAAGAGGGTCCACAAAATCTAATACACTTCACACCCCACTACACCTGGATGTGTGCTGGGTAAGGCTGGTGGCTATCTCATCTTATGGTAGTATGAGCCCCTCACTGTACAGGTGTTTCTTTCCTGTGTCCCCTGCACCCAGCCTGCGTCTGGTGGGCACAGCAGACACTCCAGGTATATGAGCTGAATAAATAAAGAGCAAATCCACTCGACAGCCGTTTTAGCACCATGTTAGGTGCTTGGGACACAGAAATGAGTGAGATTTGGTTGAATCACATAGTGGTGATGGTTGCACAACTTGGTGAATACAGTAAAAACCATTGGGGGGAAAAAGTAAACTTTATGGCATGTGAATTATATGTAAATTTAAATGATAAACAAATAAACCAATAAGGTCAAGTGATTCAACCTGTGCCTCAGGCTCTTCTGGTAAAATAGGGGAAATGACGGTACTTACGCCCTGAGACTGTGGTGAGCACTAAATAAGTTAATATATATAAAGCACATAGTAGGAGCTGTATAACTACCACCTGGTATTGTTAAAATACCTAGTCCTGGCCGGTGTGTCTCAGCTGGTTGGGTGTTGTCCCCTGCAATGGAAGGTTGCCAGTTTGATTCTCGGTCAGAGCACATGCCTGGGTTCTGAGCTCAACCCCCAGTAGGAGGTGTGCAGGAGGCAGCTGATCCATGTTTCACTCTCACATCAATGTTTCTCTCTCTCCCTTCCTCTCTCTCCAAATATCAATTACATTTTTAAAAAAATCTAACAATTTCATAAAATTAACATTTTTCTTCTGATGAAAAAAGTATACATTTATTGTGAAAATTTTCAAACATGTTGGCGTAAAGCAGAAAATCTAGCCGTAAGTACATTGCTGTACCCTTTATCCCAAGAGAATCATGGGAATAGTTTGGTGTGTATGACTCGATAATTATTTTATATATATTCTAACCTACATAATTATAATTTTATATGAAAAACTATAAATTAAATAAGTATGATTTGTCTGAAAATATAGTTATGCTTATTTGGCAATTTGCTTCATCTCATGTTATATCTTGGAGATTTTTCTATGATTCTCTGCAGACAGCTTATCTTTTTCTTTTTTCTTTTCTTTTTTTAAAATATATTTTTATTGATTTCAGAGAGGAAGGGAGAAGGGAGAGAGAGAGAGAGAGAGAAACATCCATGATAAGAGAGAATCATGGATTGGCTGCCTCCTGTACGCCCACTACTGGGGATGGAGCCCGCAACCCGGGCATGTGCCCTTGACCGGGAATCAAACCCGGGACTGCAGGCCTATCCACTGAGCCAAACCAGCTGGGGCTTCTTTTTTCTTTTCTAAAAACAGCATCATGTTGGCCCAGGCCAAGGTAGCTCGGTTGGTTAGAGCACCATCTGGATGCGCCATGGTTGCAGGTTCAATCCCCGGTAAGGGCATTTACAACAAGTACCCAGAAGGCATAAATAAGGGAAACAACAAACAAATCTCTCTCTCTCTCTCTCTTTCTCTCTCCATTAAAAAAATAAATTTTGAAAAATAAAAGCATCGTGTTTCAGTGCACTGACAGGCCACCATCTAACTAATCCCCTATTAATGGGCATTTGGATTGTTTCCATTTAAAAAAATATTTTCAAACAAGACAGCCTTTGACTTATGTCTTGGCATACTGTGAGCCCTGTGTGGGCTGCGTTCCTGGAAGTCAGAGATACCATCAGATTTAATCGAGGGTAACGGATTGCTCTCCCAAAGGTCGCCCCGATTTCCAGCGGCAGCAGCGGCGGGGAGAAGTGCCCTTCCCCTTGGCCCCTCGCCGACACCGGGCGCCATCGATCACTTTTATCTTTGCTAATCTGATTTGTGGAAACGGTGTCTTGCTCTCATTTGCATTTGTGCAATACCAGGAGCATCTGCTCATAGGTTTATTGGCCTTTTCCTGTGAACTGCCTTTCCGCGTCCTTTCAAATATTGTGAAATGCATCTGAAACCTGTTTTGGGATTTATCGTGAAAAGACAGCTCCTGCCCAACTGAGGTGGTTACAAGGCTTTATTGTTCCTGCCACTTCCAGTGCTTTCCGCGGGGGGGTTTTACTTGGAAGGATGGAAATGTTTGGGACCAGAGGGGGTGATTGAACAACATTGTGAATAAATATACTCAGTGCCCCAGACTTGTCCACTATAAAATGGTTAGTTTTATCTCGATACGTTTATTTCTTAAGAAAGATACTGCCCTGGCCGGTGGTGCTCAGTGGTTACAGTGTCGACCTGTGCACCTAAGGGTTGCAGGTTCGATTCCTGGTCAAGGGCACCTGTGGGACGCAATCAGTCAATGTGTCTCTTTCTTTCACATCAATGTTCTCTCCCCCACCCCCCCGCTTCCACTCTCTCTAAAAACTTGATGGGAAAAAATATCCTCTGGTGAGAAGGAAAGGGAAAGGGAAAGGGAAAGGAGGAAGGAAGGAAGGAAGGAAGGAAGGAAGGAAGGAAGGAAGGAAGGAAGGAAGGAAGGAAGGAAGGAAGGAAGGAAAGAGGGAGGGAAGGAGGGAGGGAGGGAGGGAGGGAGGGAAGGAAGAAGGTCTTTCTCTCTAATTGCAGGCTGATTTTCAAGTGCAGAAACTCCTGAGTGTGAGAGCTCCCAGTCCCGGTCAGTGACTGTGGGCGGAGCTTCAAGCCTGGCGCTCTCCCCAGTCCATGTGCTCAGCAAACTCCGTCTTCTCAGGACTGGGCATGTCTACCGGATATTCTTTGGCCATAAGTTTGTGTTCATTAACGGTGATGTACGAAGACTCTGGACATCTTCCTTAAAACTCCGTTTCATGTGATTTCCTTCAAATGGCCTCCTTCCCCGGGGTTCCTAAGGTGGTTTTTTTTTTTTTT